ACCGGTTAAGATGAGACAGGGAACGCAGTAAAAGTCCGGGAGGAATGACACTCTGATGAAGCTTTCGCTACGATGGTGGAAGAGGATGTGGAGGTGGGTTGAAACGGTGTCATCTGAATGAAGTCACAGAACGCATCCGCCGCCTGCACACAGGAGCAGACAAGTGCATATCGGAGGCCTTTTAAGATGAACTTTGGATGCTGATCGGCTTTTGTGAAGGTGTGATTCAAAGCTGATTGGCTATGTCGCAGGTGGATTTAGTAAAGCAATTAGTTTCTTCAGTTGAACTTCTGCCTAGGCTCCATTAAAACTAATTAAGTCAGTTTGACTATTTTGTTCCAACTTCATCAAGTTTTTTTTTTTAGTTTTTACAGCACTAGTGGCTGCTTTTTCGGAGAGTAGACTGACAGCAAAGGGGGTATGAGAGAGGGGGAGAGACAAGCGGCAAAGGATCACAGGTCGGATTCGAAGCCGGATCGGCCGCGTCGAGAACTAAAACCTCAATACATGGATCGAGCGCGCTAACCACGCCATGAATTATTTCGGATTCCTTACTAACTTCCAGGCAACATACCTAAGTTGTTGTTTTGTTTTTTTATTTAAGATGGAAAGCATACATTTATAAAAATTAAATGCTCAAATCAAAAGATTATGTAGAATAGAGTAATTACAGTTATGGTATTGTCCACTTTTGGACTATCATCAATATTTTTGACTGAGAGGGGGAGTCATGGTATGAAAAACTGCCCAAAGGGAAACACAAATTTATACAAATCTATACATAAGAGCTATACATAGTTCTATCATGTCATAAAATGCCTCAGTGGTAAATCATCATACCAGGGAATAGTAACAGCCTACAGTAAATCCAAGGTTGGAATACACATACTTTCCTGTTTGACTGCAAATCAGCAACAAAAAGAAAAAATCAACAACGCAATCACTCAATAGAATAATGCTGTAGAGCCAAAAAAGCCAGTATTACAGCTGAAAGCCATTTATGGGCTATGGGGGGGGGGGGCAGAATAAATCTGTTACTTGTCTGCATTTGGCTGTATCCTTCTCCTCCAGCATCTTTTTTTTTGTTTTGTTTCTCACCCTCTCTGTGTTGCCTTTCCTCTTTCTTTTACTATGTTCAAGGACCGAGTCCGTTGCTTCTTGTCCTCACTTGCACCGCCCTCTAGCTACACACACCACAGCAGCAGCCGGCACCAGTCACACGTCACACACCCATTCCTCCACACGCTACTGTCTGTGTGGTTGATATGGACTGCTGGGGAGCGTGTAAATTGAAATAACCCAATCGTCTTTACCGCCTCACATGCTACAGGCCTAAGTGGCCTGGTCTGTCCCTCTCTCTGACAGGTGCACAAGGTAAATCCGGGTATGGGATGTACTGCATTCCCTCCGGGACCTTATGTCAGCAGAGAAGTAACCCTCAAAAACACCTTGGCAGTGCAGGAAACGAGAAAAGATATGGCTTTGTTGGCATTTCTTTTTTCTGATTGCAGAAAATACAAATTCAAAATAAAAACAGTTTTAAAACAAAGCCCAAGTTGCCGGCCCTATTCTTCAGCAGTTGCTAAAATGCAAAGATTTTATCCTAACAATCTGTCAAGAGAATTCCAGCAAAACTCTTTGTGTTTTTAGCATTGTGCCCAAGGTAGTAAGCATTTCTAATGGACAAAAGGCAAAGCCAGAGTCTGTGCAGTGTTATGACAATAACAAAATACTATGTGGACATTATGGATGAGATGGCAAGAAAATATTTATTAAAGGGTGTAGGTGAGAGGGGATACTGTATTGCTGTGTTGTACAACATACAGGACATTGCAGGACAAAATTCCACAATCTTTTCCAGAAGTCCCCTGCATCAAGATCCTGCATAAGGAGACAACATTTCAGATCGACACACAGAGAGGTAAGACCAATGTAAACCTCTCTGAGACAAACTGATCTTTGGAGTACAGCCTGATAGTAAAGAGAGTGTAATGGCTGAATACATCTCACTGATTTAGATCTACTCTTCTTTCAGTCAGTTTAGCTCTTTTTCCCATATAATAAAAAGCAACAAACAATACATTAAATCATCTTGTTCTGGGGCAGAGCTATCAGAAAATATCATCCATCCATCCATTCATTTTCTGACACGCTTATCCCTTCTGAGGTCGCAAGGCTGCAGGTGTCTTCAGCTGTCTAAGGGCGAGAAGCGGGGTAAATCTGGACTGGTTGCCAGTTTATCACAGTGCAACGAAGAGACAAACAGGACAAACAACCATTCACGCACAAACTTACAACTAAGGAGAATTTACAGCCAATTAACCTTACAGGGAATTTTTTTGGACTGTGGGAGGAAGCCGGAGTACCCGGTAAGAACCCATGCATGCACAGGAAGGACATGCAAACTCCATGCAGAAAGAGCAGGAATCAAATCCGGAAGCTTCTTGCTGAAAGGCAGCTACCCACTGCAGCACTGTGCAGCCCCAGAAAAAAAAAATGATGTGATCAATCAGCAAGGGTCTCTTTTTCCCTTCACACATGCATGTGTGTGCATCCGTCACTATGTGTACATGTATGTGCTCATAATTGCACATGCAATCTTGATGACAGCTAAATTGAAAAGTTTTGCTGCTTATACTAAGAAACAACCATCATAGCAGAAAATGTAGCTTATTGTGACAAGCCATAACAAGGCTATAACAACACCAAGAGTGCTACATCTTTGAACAGAAATATATATCTGCATATCTTTATAACGCTATAGAAGTGTAGCTTATTTTTTTCTTCAGGATAATATGCAGCTTGGTTCATATCTGATTAATAAGCAGCATACAAAGTTTCTCTGACAGAGATTAAAACCAGCGAAGAGACAGAGTTCACAGTGCTAATTCTCACTGGCCATCTGATGAGGTTTAAGCATTTGCATTAAATTTTCTCTGTGTCCCTCTTATCACACCCACTTACAACATGAATATGCATTCAGCCCAAATCAGATTCAAAACTTTGTTTAATTGTCTACCTTTGAATATCCATCCTGCTTTTTATGATTTACAGGATTTGCAATATATTTCCATAGCTTATCCCAGCTGGCATTTAGCAGAGCTAAATAATTATTCTGTACCACATACATCATGACAGACAATGGAAACACTGATTAAGGTTCACATTTATAGTTGAATTCAATTTAAAATCAAGTTTTCCCACTTACAAATCATGGATGGGTCTGAAATTGTCACCGTAGGTGCATATCCACTGTGAGTTAATCTAAAATAAACAAATCCAGAAATCCTAATGCATGATTTCTTTTAACTATTTATTTGCATCATACAGCTGCAAATAAGTATTTGAACAGTTGTCTATCAGCTAGAATTCTGAATCTCAAAGCCGTCAAAATGTCCACCTCCACTCCATTTATTAACCTAAATTAAATGCACCGTTAGCTGTTAAAAGACACCTGTCCACCCCATACAATCAGTAAATCCAACTAATAACATGACCAAGACCAAAGAGCTGTCCAAAGATACTAGAGACAAAATTGTACACCTCCACAAGGCTGGACAGGGCTACAGGGAAATTACCATGCAGCTTGGTGAAAAATACTTATTTTTCTCACTGTATGTTTGGACTTAAACATAAAACCGTAAAACCTGAAGAAGATCCGGAGAGAGAGGAGAAAACGTATGAGCTCCAGTGAGTATAGCTAAAAGAAAGACTCAAACCTCAAATCACAAAAACATCCTGTATTACACTTAGTGGAGGTCTTATTATTCGACATGCTGGTTCACAGCCTTGGTTTAGAGGGACACTGAAGGCAACTAAGCCATCATTAGTATTATTAATTCCATCTGTGCATTTCCCACTGTGACAAATTAACAAGTCTGCTCTGGGAAAGGTTTTTGCTCACACACTGCCAGACTGTCTAGATGCCTCAACAGAAATGCAGAAAGGGTTCATATTCTGTTCTTTGTTTTCCTCTCTGTACACCTTCCAGCACCAAAACCAATATCTGGCAAAACTAGCTCTTTAAATCCATTTACCAAAGCCTGCAGATTTAAAGCATAAAGATGGAGATTACTGTAGCTGTCTGGCCCATCTGTGCTCTGTTCAAATCCACAATAACACAAACAATAGAACTCCCTCATATTTTTAGTCACTTTCAAATCTTACTTTATACATTTTAACCACACAAAAGATATAAAAATGATTAAACTAATGTATGGATACCACAGTTCCACAAACTCAGTACCTCAAGTTATTATCATTTTCCTGTAATAAGTGTTTTTTCACAACAGAAAAAAAAAAAATGACCACATACAGTAATTGAAGCAGAAGCCAATGTTATTCGGTTTACATATACAAGCAGATATTAGATCTTATATAAGCCTCTCAATGGTTCACACAGCCTCAAGGGACTAGTTCAATTACACATGAATGATCAAATACAGAGAAGAGTTTTAACTATGGCGCTAATGATGAGCATCACATTAATGTTGGTAAATAAAATTTAACAAGATCCCTTAGGATGGAAATATAAAGAAGAAATTGCAGATAAGCAATTAGGAAATACACTGATTAATGTTAAAGCACAAAGTAGATGCAGTTAAGTAAATTGGACTGTAATTGTTTTGGAGATTTCACTCCAGCTTAGATGCCATCAGTAATATTTTACATACTTCATGTCAATTTTCAATAGCAAAAATATTAAAGCACATTTTCTATTAGCAGGACTTCTAAGTGTATCTTTTTTTTTTTTTTTTTTGCAGACCTAATTTCATAAATGTAAATTTGGCTAGTATCTTAGTCACAGCAGTGATATGTTTTTAAGCTTAGAAGTATTCACCAGAAGAAAAAAAAACAGTATTATAATGGCAGCTAAATATTTAACTTTCTCTGATAAAATGTAACAGTTTTTTGTATTATAACTCAATGAAATAAACATTTATCTCTTGAGTAAAATCATCCATTAACAAAGACCACATGGGTTCACTTTGCAGACTTACCTTAGTGTGGAGCTTGGATAACTGCTTTTCATCTATGTAGGTCTGAGTGTAGATACGTCTTTTATAGCGGAACTATAAAGAAAGCACAAATAACATTCCAGAGTTATGCTTTGACCCTTTTGATTTTCTAGATAACTAAAATGATTTTTAAAAATAGCTGCCTTATATTGCTGTTCAAACAAAAATATGAGATTAATTGTTTCAACCATTGCTTAAAAGAGAATAGGTAGAAAGATCTGTGAAAGATATTTTTACTCTTTTAATAACAGTTCATTGGTACTGGGGGACACCAAATATCTCCCTGTAAACACCTGTCATTTCTTTCCAGCATTTCCGTTTATTATCTTTTCCAGATATTAATTTAGCCTCAAAGCCTACAACTCACTAAGCTGCTGGTATGAAATGTAACTGCAAAACAATAACCAGGAAACTGAACAAATTTGAGCTAAAAAAAATAAACATATTTTGGTTTGACATAAGATTCATTCTGCACATTCATTATTCAAATGGTGTTTGCCCACGGTCTGTAAAGCAGCATGTTTTCAAATGGTAATTTGTCAAAAAGTAATGAGGGAAAAATCAAAGACTGCATCAATAAATAGCTCAGAGAGCACATAACTTCCCACCGAAAGGCTGAGAAATATTCTTTTAACAAGGTGATGGCAAACAGGGTGAAGATGACTCAGGTCCCCGAAATAATGAAAAGTTAAAGAGTAAAGGATTTGAAAAACCTAGGAAGACTACAGTAAGTTCAGTGGAACATGGCTGGATACTGGCAAAGATGGGAAACCACAGATAATCAGTTACTTGTGAAAGCAGTTATGGATAGTGCTGAACTTTTACTTCTCTACTTTAACTGCCAGCATATAAAAAAGCTACCACCAAAGTGTAATAAGTGTGGACTAAGATCTTTACTGAACCTTGTCACAATGTTGAAATCATTGAAGGTTATGTTCTATCTTCTGTGGCTAAGGCTTGCTGATGTGACCTTTTTTTCTCCTCTTTCTCCCTTTCATCTCTTTTTAACTCACCTAAAAATATGCTCAATAGCTTATATGAACATGCTTGTCTCTGCTAACCTGATGCTGATACTAAAGCTTGCTAATGCTAAGATGGTAGCCACCTTTAGGGTGTAGTGAGTGGTGCTTGCTGTTTACGAACATTATTGTGCAAAATTCACTCCATGTATTGTTCTATAATACCACATCTCAGCAAATTGATATAAAAAAAAACATAACTAAGTGTGGGAGATTCCTTTCTCCAAACTCACAACATAACATCCGCCAATCCATTTTCCATCATCCTTATCCCTAATGGTGGCTATCTCCAGGTGTCTACAGGCGAGAGGCGGGGTAAACCTTTGAAAGATCACCAGTCTATCGCAGGGCAACACAAAGACAAACACTCACACCTAAGGAGAATTTAGAGATGCCAATTAACCTAAGAGTCACGTTTATGGATTGTGGGAGGAAGCCAGGGTACCTGGAGAGAACCTAGACATGCACAGGGAGAACATGCTTCTCCATGCAGAAAGACCTGGAACTTCCTTGCTGCAAGGCAGCAGTGCTATCCACTGTTCCCCTGTGCAGCCCATAACAAAACATTTCTTTGATGAAAATATTTAGTGATCACAAGGGCTCCACAATTATTTGCTTTAGTGTGCCATTTAAAAGTTGTGTATCTGCGCACATAGTTCTGCATATGAACATTATTCATATGTTAGGCTTTAAAACCAAATTGCGTGTTTAATATGCATGTTTACCAAACTAAGAGAGCTGTTTTAGCTGTTCAGCACTTATTCACACTATGGTGCTAAATACTAAACCATTTTAAAAATGTACTTTCTTAAAATGCTTGAAGTAAAACAGTCGATAAGTTAAGAAACCACCACCTGAATGTTGATTAAATAATTTTAAAATGCCCAAAAATGTAAGACAGGTTTCAAAATAGCATTTTATCTCTATTATTTATATATTTCATCTATACCCAAAGTAAAAAACAAAAAACAAAAAAAAAACAGAAAAGCTTTGCTATAGAACACATACTGAGTGTACAATGTTAAATACATCCACATTTAAGATATATCTAATGTTATAATCTTTATCTTAAAAAGTTGCATGATAAAATGCTTCAGTAACTCTTTGTAACTACATAAATTGTAAAAAACTAATTCTGTAACATAGCAGTTTACAGAAATTAAATCTAACTTCAATTCTAGTCTGAGTCTTTAATGTGTTTCCTTTCTCTGCCCTTATTTCAGCTTTACCTACAGAGTAAATCCAGAAGCGAACAGAAGATTTTTAGCTGCTAATCCAAAACTGTCAATCATCTCTACACACCTCAGGCCTGAGGGTACAACTGCAGGTCAGTAAATGGCACACACAGTGTTACAATAGAGCGCTAGCAGACATGGGAAATACACCCGGCCGGATCCCAACCTATTCAACTTAAGTGCAAGCATTTTAAGCAAAAGTATAAACCATTCAATAATCATAAAACAATAGACCAAACTGAACGTCATTCCACTGTGTGATGTAAAGGCTACATAGCAATGCTATCCTGCTACTTCAGATCAATTAGATTAATTTGGTATGAGAATCTAATTAAATTGAGTAATGGTAATTTTGACAGTATAATCATAGGTACCAAATAAATGCCAATAAATAAAAAGCTAGTTAGTTAAAAGGTAAAAGTAATTTTACATTTCTTCCTCTTAATAATGCTCTGCACTGTTAAAACTGGAGCAAATCTAAAGATAAACATGATCCCTTATAAAACCATCTGACAACTTCAGGCCACAGTCTGTGAAGTGATTTTATGGGTATGCTATTCTCTCAGATCACAAACTATGATGGACAAGCACTACAATTATCTCTGAGAGATGACAGATGCTCTAAACACCAAACTGCCTTTGAGGACAGCATTATTGTTGGACTGACACAGCATGATAGTCGCATACAAACAAACATGGGGTGGGGTGCCTTGTAAGCCTGCGTTTCATCTTTTTTTCAATTCATAGACTTTTAAAGAACACAAAATCTTTTAACAATAAGTTAGGCATTATTGATGTTGTACAAGATCCTTATTTATTACATTTTGTGAAACGTACTTGTTGATCCATGTATCATGTGGCAACAGTATAATGTATTCTCCATAGATCAAGGAGATCTGAAAATAAAGTTCTTCCTTAAAAAAAACTTTTTCAAATCTTTTAAAAGTCTGTGAATGATTGTATTTTAGTTTAATTAAACCTAATTTAAATCCTTGTCTATGATTTAAAAAGTGGTTTTGTTGGAAGAAAACCAAAAAGGTGGGGGAAACCAGCATAATTCTCGCTGATAGATTTTTCTTCAGAGGAAAGTGCAGTAGATGTGATTTTTAAAGAAACTTTAAATCTTCTGAATATACTGGCCAGTCTGACTTATTTGCAGCATGTACACAACATTTTAGTGTGTAGAGGAGTGGGTAGAGGGCGGGGCTAACGAAAACAGGTAACAACCAATGAGATAACTACTGTACAGATGTCAAATGAAGACTTTTTTTATAAGGTCTAATAGCAGCCAGGTTTTTAATATAAAATAATATAAACAGCTCTTTCAGAACATAATACAGAGTGTCAATAAAACATAGCTCTGTTGTATCTGCATTCTTGACTGTTAAAGCCATCATTCCTTTAACAGATTTAAATTCAAAGGTCCTCACTGAATGCATGCTCTTTAAGAAAAATTAAAATCATTGCTTTTAAACCAATAATTGTTCAGAAAGATCAATTTTTTTTTCTTTTTAGGTTTAATAAAAGAAAACATTGAAATAATAATAAAAAGAGATAAGTTATAAAAATAATATTTTTCAAAACAGACCATCCTGATAGGGAGAATACATGAAAAGCAGAGAAATGCTACATAGAAGGATTCATACAAACACCTGATTAACACCTACCTCCAGATAAGGGACAGGGGCAAAGGATGGGAAAGGATATTCCCTAAGCTGTCTCTCCTCATCCAGAAACTTGCCAGCCCTGCCATTGTAAGCTGGTTGGAATAGGCCATAGTTGAGTACATCCTTCAGGCTCTGGTTGAGGGTACACAGGATTCGTTGCTTGGACAACCAGATAGGTGCATCCACATTGAATTTCAAACATTTCTGCAGACAAGAGCAAATGAAGGAAACATTTACTTTAAAGAAAGGAAAACATCAAGTATTCTTTTTAATTTCAAAGCGTAGTATATTTTACAGTTATTTTTGTGGGTTTTAAAGAGGTGACAGGAGTTTTTATAGGAAAAACTGTGCATGATATAAATTCCAAGGGTCATTGGGTCTGAGTCACAAGAGTCATGTATTAAACTTTCTATGGCTAAACCAGTCAAAACATGACCTTTTGTGAAAATATGACAGACACTGGTATAGCTAGCATTTCCCCACCATCCACTGCTGATTACAAAAGGTCCTTTCCAAGACCAGCTGGGACAATTACAATGGAATAAAAACAGAACTAAAATCTAAAGGCTTACTCAGAAAACTCATGTGCTTATAATCATTGATCAAAATTATGTGTGTGACTAGAAGTGAATGTTTATTCAATCAAATACTCCTCAAAGAACTCTTTTTAAACACACTTATAAGTATAAATAATACGTATTCATGACACTAGTTGTAGCAAAACCTTGTAGCCACAAATTAAACAATGAAAAGATGTTGACTCTTTTAAAAAACAGCAACTAATATATTAATAGGAGGGTTAAAAATCTTAATAACATATGATGCACAAAATTAGGTCTTTGGAGACTCACTGTGACACATCAATTGAGTGTAATATTTTTACACTGTTTTAAGATGTGTGAAAATAGGGAAGGGCTATACAGTAGTTATTAGAAATTTCTCAACTGTCATCATATTGTGAAGGTTAGATTACTATATATATATATATATATATATATATATATATATATATATATATATATATA